TAGGTTACTTATTTACATATGCTTGTTACTACTTATGATGCAGTTTGATGACTTTCAAAGAGTATGTCCCACCCAACTCCAACATCTTTCCCTAATTTTCTCTTCAATTGGAAGCTGATTTGTTCTCTCTCACAGTAGGTTGTTGCTGACTGTATCCGTACAATAAAAACTGTCTTGACGCTCGCATTGAAGAATGTGAAATAGATGTTGGTTGATAGATGTTTAGAGTTCCATATGTTCTTCGACTGTACGAATGCTGTCCATGGTTTATAAACCCTTGCCTTTAAGTTTACGTCGGATCCTCCATGTTCATCGATGATGCTACCCAGATACATGAATGTATCCAACTCTTCCAGAGCTTCTAGATCAAGAGTGATTGCATTGGTGTTCTCTTTGCTGTATTTGAGGATCTTGGACTTTCACTTGTGTGTGATGAGGCCTACTGCTTCAGAGACTGTTGCTACACTAGTTATCTTGACCTTCATTTGTTGATGTGTATGGAATAGGAGATTCAGGTCACTTGTGAAGTTTAAATCGTCTAGTTGACTCCTAGCTGTCACTTGTATTCCGTGCTTTCCCTCATGTTTGGAGGTCTTCATAATCCAATCAACCACCACAAGAAAAAGAAAGGGAGAAAGTAAGTAGCCTCGCCTGATACCGGTCATCAATTGAAATGCATCTGTGAGCTGTCCTCCATCCAAAACTGTGCGCTATAGTCCGTCGTATGAGTTCCGGATAATATTGACAGTCTTCTCAGAAACTTCATAGTACCGAAGAAGTTTCCATAAGGTCCCCTTATCCACACTGTCAAACAACTAATAGTCAAGGAAGTTGATGTATAGTGACGAGTTCCACTCGACTGATTGTTCAATGATGATCAGTAGTGTCACGATATGGTCTGTACACGACCGATTCTTACGAAATCTGACCTGTTGATCTCGAAGTTCAGCGTCTACTGAGTATTTCATCCGGTTCAGTAACACTCTGTCGAAAACCTATCCTCACACTGACAGTAGTGTGATTCCTCTTTAGTGCTCATATTTTCCCAAATATACTCTCTTTAGTATCTTAATGAGGTATCGTTCTTTCCAGTCTGTCGGTGGCACTTCTTCCGGATCTTGGTGAACAGGACGTGAAGCAAACTTGCAGTTACTTCTTTATCTGATTTGAGTGCTTCATCTGGTATATGTTTAGGTACTGTTGATTTCCCACTCGTATTTGTCTGAAGGCCATCCTGATTTCTTCGACTGTTGGTGGAGTGGTATCTATATGAAGGTCTGTGTGTGCTGATTCGATATCCGGTGGATTCAATGGAGCCAGTATATTCAAGAGTTCCTCGAATTGTTCCACACATCTCGTCCTCTGTTCTTGAATCTCGATGGTTGTCTTGCCTTCTTTGTCCTTGATCGGTCACTGTGGTTTACTATATCTATCTACTAGTTTCTTCGTTGTGTCATATAATTGTTTTACTATTTCTTCTGTTGCAGCTTTCTTCGCAGTCACTGCTGGGTTTTCCACACATTTCTGTATGTCAGCTCTAATGCTCTTCTTCAATTGCTTGTTTGCTTCAGTGCATTCAGCTTGTGCCTTGACTTTCTCTGTTCTTGTTCGACTGTTATTAATTGTTGTCTTCCTGTTCTTCATTTCGTGAACCACACCCAGTGTTGCTATAGAGATCCATTCCTCATGATAATGCTTGTTGCGACCCATCACTTCCTGACACGTTCAGATTGGTGCTTCTTTGATACCTTTCCAGTTGTCCTCCATAGTAGTTTCTTCTTTCAGTAGATCCTGTAAGGTTTGGAACCTACTGTTGAAAGTTATATTGAATTCGTTGAGTTTGTCAGTAGGTCAAAGGGACGCTGTTTCACCAGTTGTCCAGTGTTTCATTATCTTTAGTTTTATCATGGAAACCACTAGGTGTTGTTCTGAAGCTATGTCAGCTCCTCTCCTGGTTCTCGCGTCTTCCATTTGCCTTCTGATCCCGAGAACCACTACGTTGTATCTACACACTTCCGTTGCTATTTGACTAGACCTCCCAATCTCCCATATTGTCCGGACGTCTCAAGTACCTATGAAAATTGTTGTTCTAGTTGTTAGAAGGAGCATCGGTTGCGTGGCTTCCGAAGAATCTCAGGTTTCACCTTGATGTGCCGTTAATCTTCTGAATGAAGATCCTTTAACTCCGATGGTAGATTTTAAATTGTTTTTTCTGGTTAGCATTGTTTTTAGCAGGATTTCATACACATAGTTCCTTTTATTACTTTAAAGAGAGCAAGAACAAAGGTTGGTGCAGAATAATATGAATTCATTTTATTTCGTTAGGTTCTCATCAGCTGCTTACAACCTAAAATATTTGAAATTCAACGTTATTATAGATATTGACATACTTACACAACAGAGGGCGATGAAGGATATATTTCATATATTCATCCTTCATTGCCCTCTGTTGTGTAAGTATGTCAATATCTATAATAACCCTGATGAGAACCTAACGAAATAAAATGAATTCATATTATCTGCACCAACCTTTGTTCTTTCTCTCTTTAGCAGGATTGTTTCCCTCGGGATGGGGTTGCTGATCACATACCCAACCTTCCTCTTTTAACCGGACTTGAGATCGGCAGTAACCCTAGGAGGGCTGCAGGTGGAATTATATGCATCCACACGTTTACATGTAAGTGGTTTTCTAAGCCAGTTCAACATGTCATGAGGTTCTGGGCCTCAAGAAGCATCATCATAAGGACTGGATCTCTATAGAAACACTGGACAAGATCAAAGAAAGGAAGAACAAGAAGACAGCAATTAACAACAGCCGAACACGAGCAGAGAAAGTCCAAGCACAAGCTGAATACATAGAAGCAAACAAACAAGTGAAGAGGAGCATTAGAGCCGACAAGAAGAAATACGTGGAAGAACTAGCAACGACGGCGGAAAAAGCTGCTAGAGAAGGAAATATGAAACAGCTTTACGATACAACGAAGAAACGAGCAGGGAAGTACAGTAAACCACAGAGACCGGTCATAGACAAAGAAGGCAAGCCAATCACCGAAATTCAACAACAGCGGAACAGATGGGTAGAACACTTCGAGGAACTCCTGAATAGGCCGGCTCCAACGAATCCACCGGACATCGAAGCAGCACACATAGATCTTCCTATAGATGTCAACCCACCAACGACGGAGGAAATTAGAATGGCCGTCAGACAAATCAAGAACGGGAAAGCAGCAGGACCCGACAACATACCAGCTGAAGCACTGAAATCAGACACCGAAGCAACCACAAGCATGCTTTATCTTCTATTCAAAAAGATTTGGGAGGAGGAACAAGTGCCGATGGACTGGAAAGAAGGACACCTCGTCAAGATTCCAAAGAAAGGAGATCTGAGCAAATGTGAAAACTACAGAGGCATAACACTACTGTCAATACCAGGGAAAGTCTTCAACAGATTGTTGCTGAACCGGATGAAGGATGCAGTAGACGCCCAACTTCGAGATCAACAAGCTGGATTCCGTAAGGATCGGTCGTGCACAGACCGAATTGCGAGACTACGGATCATCGTCGAACAATCAATTGAGTGGAACTCGTCACTGTACATCAACTTCATTGATTATGGAAAGGCGTTTGACAGTGTAGATAGGAAGATGTTATGGAAACTTCTTCGACACTACGGAGTTCCTGAGAAGATTGTCAACATTATCCGAAACTCATACGACGGACTACAGTGAAAAGTAGTGCATGGAGGACAACTGACAGACGCATCCCAAGTAAGGACCAGAGTCAGACAAGGCTGTTTACTCTCTCCCTTCCTCTTTCTTCTGGTGGTCGACTGAATTATGAAGACCTCGACATCTGAGGGAAAACACGGAATACAATGGGCAGCTCAGAATCAATTAGACGATTTGGACTTCGCAGATGACCTAGCCCTCCTATCGCATACACACGAACAAATGCAGATAAAGACAGCCAGTGTAGCAGCAGTCTCTGCATCCGTAGGCCTCAGCATACACAAAGGGAAAACCAAGGTCCTCAAATTCAAAGCGGAGAATAGCAATCCAATCACTCTTGATGGCGAAACTCTGGAAGATGTAGAGTCCTTCACATACCTAGGAAGCATCGTCGATGAACAAGGAGGTTCAGAGGCAGACGTAAAGGCGAGGATCGGCAAAGTAAGGGTCGCATTCCTACAATTGAAGAACATATGGGACTCAAAACAACTTTCAACCAATATCAAAGTGAGAATCTTCAATACCAACGTCAAGGCAGTTCTACTGTATGGAGCTGAAACTTGGAGAACTACAACAACCACAATCAAGAAAGTACAAGTATTTATAAATAGCTGTCTACGCAAGATACTCAACATCCATTGGCCGGATACCATCAGCAACAGCCTTCTATGGGAGAGAACAAACCAGCTTCCAGCCGAAGAGGAAATTCGGAAAAGACGATGGAAATGGATAGGACATGCGTTACGGAAATCGTCAAACTGCACCACGAGGCAAGCCCTGACTTGGAATCCTGAAGGGAAACGGAAAAGAGGAAGGCCAAAGAACACATTACGTCGGGAAATAGAAGCAGATATGAAAAGAATGAATAACAACTGGAAAGGATTTCCCAGGACAGAGTTGAATGGAGAATGCTGGTGAGCGGCCTATGCTCCCTCACGAGGAGTAACAGGCGTAAGTATTTACTTGATAAAGTTCTAGATGCTGATAACACATCGATAACATTAGTACACGTAATACTATTCCTACTTTGTTCACCTGTAACTTGACAAACTCACTGAAAGCATGAAATACGATATTTCAAGTCATGTTTACTTGCTAAAACAGCTTTCTATAACGAGCATACATCATCTACCTACGTGACTTTTGTATCGGACCGACCCACAAATAATAGACTGGAAACAACCTAGTTTTTGCACCATTTCTTTTAACATGAAAATCTAACGGCATAAATATCTAAATAAAATTGCATAAGAATTATTAAACACAAGTATTCCTGGTATTTAATTATTCATTTTTTGTATAATACATGTTTTATTTTACAAATTGCTTCTTTTGTAAATGAACATAATAATTCATGGTTTAGTATTATATATCTATTTACTTAGTTTGGAAGATAATATACTAATCTTAATGAATTACATCTATATTTTAAACTTTATAACGGATTAAAAATCAACCTAATACGATGAAAAACTATAGGTTAACTAATTAAATAGATCAATAATTGAAAACCCATTGAAACTATTACAAAACAAAAACTAGAGAAAAAAAATCAATTCGAAAAATATTTTTATTGCACTTTTTTCTCATAAAACTTTTTGTTGTTGTTGTTGATAAAATGAATGCATAGACGGACTAGAAAGAGGAACTAAGATAAGACCGATACATACATAATCTGTCTTGTTATTTCACTTGTTTCCTAAGTTAGAAGTTCAGTATAAAAGTTGTAAAGAAAAAAAGAAGGTCAATTAGGCGGAGAGAGTAGGATAAATGGTAGCAGTAGTAATATATTATTGATCACAATTTATTTTCGATACAAAAAAGGAAGAACTGAAATTATTGTGGAAAATTTTCAATGATTTTCGCTGTTGATATATATATATGTAAAGAAATATTAGGAAAAAAGCCCTAGTCAGGTACAGTTGTTTGATTTTATGTAATTTGACAATGTGAACAGAAATAATAAAAAAACAACAACAATTAAGTAAATTGAAGATATGCTGATTGTAGTACTGGTATACATTGAGCTATAGTTTTGCTGCTGATAATAACTAATAAAGTAAACTGATTGTTAATTTTTTTCTCTAAAAAACAAATAGTTTTGAAATTTGTACACAGCTGATTAAAATTTGAGGAGAGGGTAATAGTAGTTCAGAGAAACAACAATAACAAATAACAACAGGAATGGAAATTTCTATCTTTTCTTTTTTTTCTCACAGTAAGTTTAAAAAGATTTTTTTCCCTTGGATTTCCCAATCACAGATTGGTTTAATGATCAAAATTTATATTAGGATTATAAAAGCTGAAAAATAATAGGATGGGAGGATATTTGAATAAAATGATGATACAACGTTAAAATTTGAATATGCCTCGTCAAAGTTTCTGAAAGAAAATGTTAAAAAGCAAATTAGAATGAAACAATTAAAACCAAGCAAAATGAATTAGTCAGACACGAAAAAATGTAATTTATCTGTCCAAATGGATAGATTAGTTTTATTTGGATTTAGCAGGGGAAAAAATGCACATCACTTATTTCATAGACAGATTCAAGTGTAATCAACTTTTGCTTTATAGTGCAGGGTATATGAACTAGAAGAATCTGTCATTAAAATAGTCTTCGAGATATATCATCTTAAGTATAAAACTGTACTTTTTCCAATATCTCTTGGGTCTTAGAAACACTAATGTCAAATGCTAGATGACAATTTACACCTAGCTCTCTGATTATCATTGAATGACAAATTAAGACAATTTATTATATCAAGACTACAAACTGATTTGCATCATCCACTGACTAACTGGAAAGTAATTTATAGATTTTAAACTTGTGAACATTTGTATTTGTTTGTTATTGGGACTTGCTGCTTTAGATTTGTCACAAGCGCTGACTACTTAGAACTGGATGCTTGGTAACATTATCTTATTTAAACAATGGTATGATAGATCTAATTAGTTTTCAAGAATTCAATAGCTCATATAAAGTTGGTGAGATGTATTTTACAAAAAAAGACGAGATAATATTTCCGTCAAACACGAAAGAACAGGTCGGATAAATACGATAGCAGACATTATTTAATGGATGGACAGCAATATTGAGAAAAACAACAACAACATGAAAATGTCAAAGTGTCTTATTGTCAATAAACCAAATAATTGGTATCAAACAACATCATAAGAAACTTTACCCGAATAAACTACTTTACATAACCGATAACATCTGAAAGAGTTGTATTGTAATGGTAAGTTGTAACAGGCAAATAAAAAACTGAAGGTGATACGACTGTTTAGAGATCGTTAACTTACGCATTAAATTTAATTTTGGAACCAGGGAGTTCCAAAACGTATGCACATAACGAACGAATTTTTTATGGATTTGCAAGAGACCTAGTTTAGATTTTAAGCGCTTTACTAAATAGTAGAAAGGATTGAGAAACGACGGTTGTATGATGTATTGAGTTTTTAAACTAGCAAAACCTTCAAACAGAAATGTTTTTGTGATCTACACATTCATATAACTAACTGTTTTGCTTGGAATTACGAGAACCCCGAGATGCTAGAGATTTTATTCAAACGATCTAGTGAGACCGTAGTCATTGAGCAAAATATATGGTTTGAAAATTAGCATATTTAGTTACATCCCTGAACAGTATTTCAATTAAGAATCTCGGGATATTGTAGCGTTAATTGATCGATTTGCTCTTAAATTGTATACTTTTTAACCTACTGAATAATTAGCAACAATATGGTGTGGCGCATATACATTTGGTGCCCTCTTGTACCACTATTTATGTGTTGAAATAAATAAAATAAAAGCAACAAATGAGATGTATTAAAATTGTTCGTAAAACATCCTTCTTCACCACAAAATACCCACTTTATAACTAAACAATACATTATTTGACTAGGTATGGAGGGATATTATAAGCCATTAGAGTTGTGGGACTTAGTTTCTATGTAGTGATCAGACTTGAAATTTATGAAGTTCTGTGTAAAGGAATCATTTCCAGCATATGGTGGGCAAACGAAAAACAATGAAGCGAAGCTTTTAAGGAGAATGGATTCTTTAAATAAGTTAGTCTACAACCAGAAAGGTTAGTTCAGTTAATTTCCGTAGAAGAAAAAATTATGAATGGACTTACTATAAACCCAAATCCATGTTCGAAAAAATATCATTTAAAAGAACCCGCTCCTCATCTACCTCTGTGATAGTTGAAAGAGCTGGAGGAGAAGATGTAGAAATGCTGCGTTGTGTGCGCCTTGATAACGTCCACACAAGTGGTGGGGAGCTGCCTAATAGACGGGATGAAGGGTAATCCTGAACTGTGTAGGATCCCGATGTTTTGGTAAGTGCTTCCTTCAATGTGGAAGAACATGCAACAACATCAGTCCAAGAAATCTGCAAAATTAAATGAGGAACGATTCGTGAGTAGGTTTTCCAAATTAAATCAGCCAGTCATAATCAACGTGGAGTTCGAGAAAAATGTTCGTTAGTCTAACTCGCCACATAGACCAAATAGAAAAAATCAATGAAGTACTTTCTAAAGGTAGAAAATTAAATTATCATATCAGATGCTTGACCATAATCTGAAGGATCATTAATATTTACCGAGTTGGAGAGATAACTTGAAGTCATTCGACTCCTAACCGCTATATCGTTGGTCTGAACGCCACTACATATACTGTTACACCTAAAGTGTGGTTCAATTACGAGTACAAGAATCCAAAGTAGGTATATAAGTCATATTATTTTAAAAATCCACAAAATAAGGTGATTTAGAGTCAGATATATGAACTTGTATTTGGTGAAACTAACAGTTCACTCTATACTGCTTTTAGGCCGTACAAAATACTATCTGAAGATATATATGGATTACTAGAAATAATAATACGGACCCTCGAGGCAGTGCTCATATTTAATGAGACCATTAGTATCTCGCTATTGAGGCTAAAAATAACAAATTATAAGAAACTATTACGGAGATAGTTGAGAAGCGGATCTAGCTAAATATTTCCTCGAAATTGGATATGGATTTATGGTAAATCTATTCATAATTTATGTTGTGTTTACAGGAAACAACTGAACTGAGTATTCATTCTAACAAACCGCTTGGTGAAGTGAATCTTCGATTTACTCTAAAAGCATTTAAAGACAGCTTAACCTGGTGCATTACACCGCCCATCAGAAGAGAAGGTTGAATATAATGCTGATTGCTGTCAAAGATATACCATATGTCCATGACCGTTAGTCCAAACAGTAAAGACTTATTCGAAATTATCAAATCAAATCTTGGTAATGATACCTAGTATAAAGACTTGTTGTTTGAGGTCTGTAAACAGTAAAAGACTAGAAGTTAAATAACTCAGAATTAGTGCCAGTTGTCTTAGTAAGATCATCTTTGGTTTTCTTCTATATATTTACCTTATTGTTACTGTGATTTCGCTAGCCTCTTTCCCACTTTCCTCTGCTGACGTTAGACGTAAGGTGAAGATGGGAAATCAGTTGAAATGATAAACATACATTGACTGAGGTATCTAACCACCGCATACCTAGACGCACAATATTTGCTGGTGTAGGAGTAAGTTGGAAAAAAACCAAGGTTGGTAATTATGTGCAAAGTGTTGTAAAGGAAAAAGTAGTTGTTTAACTTTCGGAATGGAAATAACACATAAATGGGTTAAATCATAACTATTATCAACAACCTACAAATGAGTTTTTCGATCATTAAATTACCAACCTGAGTATTCCCGCTAAGCTTCATACTATTTATTCAAAGCGTTTGTGAAAATTCTGATAAGATTGGAATACAACATAAGTTACAGTACCTAAAATGCGAAGCGACTCAACCCGGGAATAAGAGCTACTAAATACCACAAGTATGTCTCTTTAGCAAAAAGCTACTGTAAAACACCAGTTGGTTCTAGATTTGCGAACACATTGATAATAAGCTGTTTTGAGTCTGCTTTCAGGGTGTATTTAAGAAAGTATTTACTAAACTTCTGAACAGTAAAATCACAATCATTCGCAATATGATTTAATGATAACTAAATATAAAAAATATCAGCAATTCAACCTTAGTAAAAGACAAATTTCGCAAATAACTATTTTTACTTTTAACAGCTATCCCATAATCGACTGTAATTGTGTTTGATAAGGTCATTTGACCTGCAGATCTCAAAATAAATGTGGGATTGCCGATGAGCGCACTTAGTTTTTTTAATGGCAGCATATTTCAGTAGATTACGATAAATTATGTCATTATCAACCATTAGAACTCATTTAATGTGCTGTTTCCAAAATCCAAAAACTTCAGTATAAGTATGGTGTAAAACTTGTAGGGTTACTTAATGTGAGTAAAAAACAAACGAGAAGTTGTAGACAGTTAGGATCAGCCAGGAAATAATATATATCCGTAGTCACAGAGATCACTAAACATATATAAGTAATATTTCCACCAAAATCAAAAATTATTATGGATGTGCTTATTGCCCATTAAAAAATACATTGGTCAAACAAGATGTCATTTCTAAGTGATGAGAAGGGAATTTATGAAGTGAAATTTGTTTAACAAATATAAATTAGGCGTTAAAGTTACTTACGTTACATATAAGTGACAAATTATAGAGGTCAGACGTATGGAACTGCAACCAATCGTCAGCTGAACCCAGTGACCCCACAGCTGAATTAAAACAAAGATGATTGAGCAAGGCCAGTGCTAGGCACGAAGGACGAAAGCACGATACCTCTGAGGAGATTAGAGCTATTTCGATCTGACGACAAATAGAAATAGGGACAGGCAACCAAGAGTTTTGATTTCTAGATTCATTCTGATAAGACGCAAACGGGATGCCGAACGAGGAGAAAATGGACAGAAAATCAATGGCTGTAGCCGAGCATGCACCGATAGCAGCAACGCTGGAAGGCCCCAACTTTGTAAGGATAATTTCCACCATTCGCGTCAGATCAGCAGCTGTGCCGCCACATCGTGATAGCGTTACAAGGCTTTCAGGTGTGGGTGAAACGTGTTCCTACAAAATAGTACGACACTGGTACAATCAGGTTAAGGCAGTAAAGAAAAAACCAGCAAACTTTTGTAATTTATGCAATAAACTACAGTCAGATGAAACTGCAGCTAGGATAAGTCAAGTGGATGCAAAAATGAAGCTCAAAATAAATATTCTAATATATGTGATATCGTAACTTCGGGAACTAAATGAAAAATTAACATGTAAGCGAGCAACAAAATGAAACGTAAGAATCGTCACCACACTTAACATTGATCACCTTTCTTCGTTAGCATAGTAAATCAATCAATAAATAAGTAAGGCCAAGTTATTTAGATCTTTGACCTTTAACTGCTTAATACTGGTAAAAACTTAAGGCAGTAACAACAAAAAATAATTCCAAGGTTTACTTTTCAAGTTTTACAGATGTAGTTGACAGCATATGACAAAAGTATGAGACTTACCATTAGTCAATTATGGGTAAGTGTAACGCCAGCATGCAAAAGCAAAACAGATAGCAATAATCGCACGTCTAACTCGGCTAGAATTTATTAACGAAAAACAATAATCTTAGATCCCTTTGTATATTTTACTGAGCTATCATGAAGAGATCGCACCAGGTCCACTTGATGGAAACGGAAGGTTAGTTGCGCGGATTATGAGATGAAACCAAACAGAAAAAGTAAAGATTTTACAAACGAAGTATACCAGTTAACTCGACTGTGGTATATGGTTTTCAGGAAAACATGCTTTGAGTAAAATACTTAGAAATAACGAGTTTAATAACTCAAGTAATAATTAAATTCGTAATAAAAGCTCCCTCGTATACTGTAACATCAGGCATTTAAAAGCTTGTATACATATTCGTTGAATTCTTAAAAATATACTTACGGATGATCTCTCGAACTTGGAAGTGATGTAGTAGCATGCAGCGGCCACGCACATTGCGTACTTTGGTTTAACCTATATAGTCATTATATACAAATAAATTCCAAGCTTACTTTGACTCTAGCAACCAGTAAATCCATTAAACACACTGCCTTGCAGAATATGATGGAGGAAAGCGAATAATAGGCGCTATGTAAGGACCACAATTTGAACAAAGTTTCTGCTCTCAATGCTGCGTCAACTTTATCATCCAAATCCTGAAGATATTATCGTACAAAAATGATGGCTTACTGAGTTTACAGCTAGCAAATGCTCATTACCAATGTAAAGTAATTTTTCTTGAGACAAAGAAGAGAATAATTTTTCCTGAATAGCGTAGTAAAACTAAGAATTGTACAGGAGGCTGTATGAACTTACTGCTTGGCAGCGAATGCTTGAAAAGTGAGTTGGTGTGCAAAGACTGGAGGTTTGTGGTGAAAGACTTCGGCCAGGAATAAGGTCATTTTCGAAAGTTCTATAATGACTAGAAGAAGTGATTTCTTGATGTGACTCCGAATTTGTCTCGGAAACTTCCAAACGTTTTTTCAGACGGCGACCTTTTCTGGGGGACTTTACAGATGGAAGCACTGCCTTAGGTACATTATTGGTTGGCGCTCCAAAGATCCCCACAGTGTTTCTTGAGCTTGTTACCATCATTGTGCCGAGCAGACCGAGGATGGTTGTGAACCGGGTTTAATAACAAAGGTATGAAAGTATCCGAGATCTGATTGGCCAACCGGAAGTGACCTTGACGCATAGAGCAGCTGATGCAGCGGACATTTTACCTTTGGAAATAGATATTACAAACAAGAACAATATACAAAAAACTTATCATGTAATTTCATGGACCACAGCATTCAGTCCGATGCAAAATCATTTCGAAAACACCTTGTTCATATCTATAATCCATGGTGAGGTTGGTGAGCTACTCTATTTTCTAATTGAGATCCGATGCTTTGAGGTACGGTAAGTAACCGAAGATGCATAGAATATAGCCTATATCCAATTTTAAACTACCTTTGATACGTGGGTGATCATAAGGATCAGAGTACTATGTACCTCTTACCTCTTATTTGGTAAACAGGATTAGTAAAGTGCATGTTTATTAAGACCGAATTTAGGCAGTAGAAGTGAAATGTTCATTACGAACAAGTACGATTCTTGTTTTATCCCGACTTGAAACCAGATGGTAAAACAACTTAGTTGTGAATGAAAGCGATCGAGGAGTGGCATTTCAGCAGTCCTCCCCAGTACCCACAGATTCAAAATTATCTTTGGGTCTTTTTTGGAAGATCCAACTAAGGGTACTATCACTGTGGCTTCCTGTTAAGAGTTTAATAATCTACTGATTCGTACCTCGAAAGAGTTTGAATGTGGTTCTGTGAGGGCCATTCTGTGGCCAATTCCTTTTTGTGTGTACCTTATTACTGAAGCATATCATTGGTTGATTCGGATGGAGAGAATTACATGCAGTATGATACATCATGATTATATCCCACCTAATCCGCTTGTGAATTAAAGGCCTACGAGAGACCTATGCCCATGTGGCACTTTTTGCATTGTCTTGGTGCCAAACGTAATCAAGAAGATAATTGCCTGATTCGTGATAACCACACAGGGACTGGCCTAAGAAGAGAGGATAAGTCCCCTCACCGGTGGTTATATAGTGCAGAAGGCGGAGTGCTGAAAACTATCGTTTTATCTAGTGCTAAAGTAATGAAGGCGACTGACACCTAGAAATGCATTGATTGAACTTGTATTTTGTAATCTGACCGTGGCCACAGACTGTCCTATATCGCTAAAAGTTTATGTTGCATATCACCAGGCTGTTGACAATAAAGTCGCATTTAAGTAAACTCAAGGTCACGGTGAGGTTCACTGTACAAAGAGGAAGAGTAGGAAATCTTGTCTGACTCCGTTCCTCACTTAGAATATCTCCGTCAGCTGTCGTCCACGCACGATATTTCACTATAGTCCGTCTTATGGATTCCGAATGATACTGACAATCATCTCAGAAACTTCATAGTACCGAAGAAGTTTCCATAAGGTCCCCTTATCCACACTGTCAAACAACTAATAGTCAAGGAAGTTGATGTATAGTGACGAGTTCCACTCGACTGATTGTTCAATGATGATCAGTAGTGTCACGATATGGTCTGTACACGACCGATTCTTACGAAATCTGACCTGTTGATCTCGAAGTTCAGCGTCTACTGAGTATTTCATCCGGTTCAGTAACACTCTGTCGAAAACCTATCCTCACACTGACAGTAGTGTGATTCCTCTTTAGTGCTCATATTTTCCCAAATATACTCTCTTTAGTATCTTAATGAGGTATCGTTCTTTCCAGTCTGTCGGTGGCACTTCTTCCGGATCTTGGTGAACAGGACGTGAAGCAAACTTGCAGTTACTTCTTTATCTGATTTGAGTGCTTCATCTGGTATATGTTTAGGTACTGTTGATTTCCCACTCGTATTTGTCTGAAGGCCATCCTGATTTCTTCGACTGTTGGTGGAGTGGTATCTATATGAAGGTCTGTGTGTGCTGATTCGATATCCGGTGGATTCAATGGAGCCAGTATATTCAAGAGTTCCTCGAATTGTTCCACACATCTCGTCCTCTGTTCTTGAATCTCGATGGTTGTCTTGCCTTCTTTGTCCTTGATCGGTCACTGTGGTTTACTATATCTATCTACTAGTTTCTTCGTTGTGTCATATAATTGTTTCATCATTCCTTTCCTTGCGGCTTTTTCGCTGCCAATGCTAGGTCTTTTATGTATTTCTGTTTGTCATTTCAAATGCTCTTCATCACAAGATTGTTTGCTCATGTGTATTTGTAGAACTATGGTCTACTATGATATTAGTACTGCTCCAATAATAGACCTAATCCTAAATTTGTAAATTTGTCATGATATAACTGCCTAATCTATAAGATCTTATGTGGAAGTCACACCATCGAAAACACCAACCCACTGTATCGTATCAAATACCAATACGTGATGGAGAACAAGCTTAGGCTATAGATAGGACAATATATTTAATACGAATAAAAGATATAAGATAACAGGGACCACACCTGCATGGCCGAGCCATGCCATTCGATCAACTCCAACTCATCCAATTCCTTGTTCGCGCCTTCTCCATCGTTAGGTATTTCTCCGCGTTAAATATTGAATATCTATTTTCCGAGTAATCTCGTATTCAGCTTTGAGGATTGTGTGGTTATGGTCCAATGCCACGACATATTCATCTTGTGCCTTGACTTTTTCTGTTCTTGTTCGACTGTTGTTGAGAATGATATTGAATTCGTTGAGTTTGACAGTATGTCATAGGAACGCTGTATTGAACCTTTGTAATTCTGTTTCACCAGTTGTCCAGTGTTTCATTATCTTTAGTTTTATCATGGAAACCACCAGGTGGTGATCTGAAGCTAAGTTAGCTCCTCTCCTACTTCTCATATCTTCCATTTACCCTCTGAATATTTTAGTGATACAAATATAAGGTATCTGGTTCTCCGTGTTGTGATTCAGTGAGACACGTGTAGCTTTGTGTCTGCAATTGTGTGAGAATATTGTTCCGCCTATAACCATCTTGTTAAATGCACATAAATTTACAAGTCTGTCACCATTCTAGTTTCTTTCTCCCAGTACCCAGTTCATGTCGTTCCATGATATCTTGATACCTGGTGTTATCCATTCCGACTTTGGTGTTTAGATCTCCCATCAGGATGGTGAAGTCCTTTCTTGGGCACTTCTCTATGGCTGATTGCAGCCTCCCATAGAATTGATCTTTACTGTATTCATTGTTGTCATTGGTTGGTGCATATCATTGGATAATATGCATTGTGACCCCCTCCTTCTTTGTTTCGAAGCATGGTTAGATGATTATGGGTCCATGAGATCCCTATCCTACAAGTGCATTTCGTGCATCAGAACAACATTGTGAGTGTGTGAGACAGTTTCCTCTTTGTGACTGGAATATATCAGTACCACTCCTGAATCTAACCTTTTGTGTTCAACTTGGGTACAGAAGTTTTTGCTGATCCCGAGAACCACCAGGTTCTATCTACACATTTTCGTTGCCATTTGACTAGACCTTTCAGTCTCCCACAGATTTCCGGACGTTACATGTACCTACGTAATTGCCGAGAGTGGATTTCATCATGAGGCTTAATTATTCTTGTGAATGGATAACCTATAACTTCGAGGGTAGAGTTTAATTGTTTTTTCTGTTCAACATTTTTTTAGCAAGATGGTTTTTATCGGGATCGGGTTGCTGACAACGTGTCCAACCCTCCTCCTTTATCCAGGCTTGGGACCGGAACCAACTCTAGACAATCTACCGGCGGAGCTAGCCACAAAAAATAAACACTCAATATTAGTTTGAATCGTTGATAGCAGAGGGTTATCCGTGATACTATGGATAATAACAAACCGTGGATAGCTTCCTGTCATGGCTCTTTTTAATACCATATGCAAAAGTTAGGAACAAACATGCGTAGGGTTATAACATCCCAGGTTACAGAAATGCTCGTTTTTAGCAAAAAGCATTTGCGCTTGTATCTGATACCTACGAGTAACTAATAGTAAACCAATTTTACTGCAGGTGCTACTGTCCGGTGGCGGTAATCTCACTATCCCCAAAAGTTATGGGGACCTTGATATACAACGGTTTATATGTCTAATTACTCTACATTTTCAGGAAGGGCTACTTCTGTATCGTCAAATTGCCGGCTGCAGTTGTTAGATAAGGAACGTTTCCTGACCATCGAGGGAAGGTTGATGCTACATACCTTAACTTCCCAAAATCTTTTGATAGGGTCAATAAAATGTATCTCACCAATAAGCCAAAGCTGTTATGTGTTAAGTGATCGTTAATAGACTGGTTTATTTTATATCTGAATAGTCGACTTTTACTCAGGCTACAGAATGTCGTAGTGTGGACTCCTCGGGGTTTATTACTAGGACTGTAGAGGGTAGTTAAGGTAGATATTTTTTATAATTACTTTTGTTAATATTTGCATTTTTCATTGATTGTTACAATTTGCACGATTATCATTATTTCTCGTAAAATCGTCGTTTAAAATATATGACCCTTAACCTTCCGTTCCGGTTTGTGAACACACAGAACATGACCTATTGATTATCGCTCACAAACACTTTACTACACACTTAGGCTGTTCTCGCTTCTGGACAGGCTGACCTATCCTCAAGCCATACCTTGACCATGTCACTTATTGGCTTATTAACCCTGGCTGTTTCTATATGATCGTGTGTTGATTGCTTATCCTATTTATTATATATCAGTAACTTATCTTGGAATGACTTTAAATATTGAGTAACGCTTTGTAGATTGCCAACGTAGATGATCTATGTCGAATGGTTAAAGGCCTTCTCGAGTTAGACGGGAACGGTATGACGAACCAACTAACTTCGAAGTCACACTTTGCGGTCAACATCTAACGTGGATTACCCGTTAGACGTATCAAAGTGCTACGGCTGCTTCGAAGACCGTATAAAACAAAGGACGTTATTAAGGAAATATATTAGTAAGAATATGTACAGAGATCACCATCACGTGCGCCAGTCCATGACATACGACCAATTGATGAGCGTCAGTTGTCCTTGACCTTGACAGGGATCGATACTCAGTGACCCAACTACCGGATGATTTGGCTGGGGCTCAGTAACATTTCACTGACCCTACAGCCTGATTAAATTGAATTGGCTTACTTGCATTCTCCGATCCGTTCCCACTCCCCCCTTTATTTCGTTTCCTCGATTTTCTGTCTAAATAAATGGGTGCATGAAATATACATATGCATTTGACTTATTTAATTCCGTTGTTCATTAACGCGGATTAAGTCGATAATTATGTATGAGGATTGGCGACATGTATATTTCGATGACAATCAGCATACAATCCGACTGATACATGATATAGATACAGGACAACTAAAGGATCTCTTCCATTAATTTATATAAATGACTTTCCTCAGAAAGTGCCTTCCGAGTCATTAAATTTCAGAAACGACAGAGATTTTTGGAGAGAATGTTTCCACCAATATGACCATCTGATAACAACGGATTTTCAAAGTGAAAAAAAGCCCATCTGATACATGTTGCAAACTACGCACACAACTTAGATAACTTCACTCTAGGGGTATCACGGGCTAAAAACGACATAGCAGTGTTGGTGCCCTATGAGCTGAAGTCTTACGCTAAGTGCCGTTGTAGATTTCAGTTTCGTCAGCAAAACTGAGCTAAGATATCCCACCAACAACTTGCGCTGGAATTTCAAACGGTTGAATGTGTCAGCTCTACAGTACTATCTACAACAGGTGGATCGGGATGTTCACCCTCAACTCGATGTGGATGCTCATTGGGATTTTTTACTGCACAGACTCATATGTGCTACAAATCATTCATTTCCTCAAACGGTCCCCCATAGCTATCAGCAACCCACAATCATCAAGAACCGCATCCTTCGCCTGCTAAGCCGCAAAAGGCACTGTTGGGTGGAATACAAACGAACTCACAACAACGGAGCGTACGGGCAACACAAACATATAAGGAACATATGCACGAGGGCTATAAGAGAAGACAGGCTCCAGTACCAGATAAAGCTTGTGGATAAATTTGTCTCTAATCCGAAAAGCTTATTCAGTTAAGCAGCCTCTCTTCGTCAAGCCAAAACTGGAGTTTCTCAACTGTTAGGTCCTAACGACCCGACCAATAACGACAGCGACGCAGCTAACCTTCTGGCTGAACAATACTCTCGTACATTTCAACCGACCCACATAAACTAAACTGGTGACAGTTTTATTTGTGACTGCACAGGACTTTCCGAAGTGAACCTGAGAGCTGACTTGGTGTTCCGGAAACTGCAGCACCTAAGAAAAGACATTTCTCCTGGCCCACATATGGTCCATTCTATTATACTGAGGGAAACAGCCTCAATCCTAGCAACGCTGCTTAGTGTGATGCTCTCACTCTCGCTAAGCTGAGGAAAACTACCGGAATATCGGAGGTCGATGCAGCGAAACTTCAAGTTACCGACCGGTGGCTCTTCTCCCAATACCTTCAAAAATCATGGAGTCCCTGATATGCGATGGTATAAATGACTATTTACTGTCCTTAAGTTTCTTCTCATCCCAACAGCATGGTTTCAGGGAGGGTTACTCTTGTATAACCAACCTGCTGACTGCGGCGGACAGATGGACAAGCATCCTTGATCACAAGGGGAAGGTTGATATCATATACCTAGATTTCTCAAAAGCTTTTGATTAGGTTAACCATACTTGTCTTATCAATAAGCTCAAACGATTGGGTATCAGACCATCTCTAATCGATTGGCTCACTTCATACCTAAAAAATCGACATTTTAAGGTCAGGGTTAATTTCACTTTATCTCAGGCTATGGAATGTCCTTGTGGGGTCCCCCAGGGTTCAATACTAGGACCTCTTCTCTTCTTGATCTACATAAATGATCTTCCTCAACAGGCAACGTCAGACTTATCGCTTTTTGCTGATGACGTGAAATTTTGGGGAAAGAGATACGCAACCAAGACGATATACAGGCAATTCAGGAGGATGTGACTCGGCTTCAAAGTTGGACAGACGATAACGGACTTACTTTCAACACTTCAAAGTGTTAAGTAGTCCATATGCGACACATCGCAGACTACATTTACAACTTAGGAAACTCTTCTCTAGTCGTATCTCAAGTCGAAAAAGATTTAAGAGTCCTGGTGCCCTACGATTTAAAGTCTTAGGCTAACTGTGACAAAAATACCTTTCGAGCAAACCTTGCATTGGTAACATTGAAGTGCATTTTTGGCCAGTTTGACGGAAGAGCTTTCCATATAATCTTCAATAGTTTTATCCGTTCCCATTTAGAGTATGGAAACATAGTACTCCCCCCTCACGCCAAAAGGATAAGGACACTCTGGAGCGTATCCAACGGCGAGCCACGAAATCAATTCGAGGACTCAAATTTAAACCTGATGAAGGGCGCTTACAATCACTTAACCTTAACCGATTAGGGTATAGGCGTCTTAGAGGTGACCTTTGAATGGCTTACAGTATCCTTAACACTTCTGGACATCCTCTTAAACACCTATTTAAGTTCAGTTCCAACACTAACCTAAGAGGTAACACCCAAAACCTGGAGACACAACATAGCAGAACGGACTGTAGACACAACTTCTACTCCTCGAGAGTTGTCGAATGCTGGAATTCGCTGCCGGCAGAGCTAGTCCAAGCGACTTCCCAGGAGTCTTTTAAGGGGCAACTTGATATATTCTTAAGAATTAAAGATAGTATCATACTATGATTTACCGATTTCTTTTTCTTTTTTTATTGTTAACATTCCTATGTTCCTTCCTGGAGGTTTAGGTGATTCCCTGCAACTAGACACGGAAGCCTGTTAAGCGAAAGCTTCTTCTATTCCGTCCACAACCATTTGAACAAGGTGCCACTCGAGCAAACTTTGCTCTACTAACACTAAAGTGAATTGTTTGCCATTATGACGCTAGAAAATTTCACTTGATCCTTAACAGTTTTATTCGACTCCATTTGATGACTTATTGCATCCTAAACACCATTGGTCACCACCTTAAATACTTACGTAGGCGCATATTACGAACGCTTGCGTCATCCGTCTCTGTGATGACAGTCCATGTTACGCAATACTTGTCGTTCCCTTGGGAATTTGTTACCTCACTGTTTTGGAAACGATATCCTAATCCCCATGCGTATGTTCCTTCCTCTTACTGAGCTTCTTTTATCAGAAAGCACGTCTTGTCCGAGGATGTTTTAGAAAGATATCTCCTATCAGATGGAAGGTTATACACTAAACGGTTGTTAACTAAGAAAATATCAAAGAGGATACCATTTTGGTTGCTCAAGTTTTTTCCCAAAGGTCAAGTGTCGGTTGTTGAAGAATCCATTATCGACGTTAATCGTCAACGTGTCGATGTCGTCTCCAAGAATTTCGGTGTTTATAAAAAGTACCTGGTAAGTTTAAAGCTATACGTCGGAATCTTTTGTTATGGGTGTAATTACCTGTCACTTACCTTCAGCTACAAGATTTGTGCACCAGCTTAGTTGTTATGGTTGTATGTTTGATACTAAAATTAAATGTAATTACCTCACTTCTCCAAGGGATTTACAAAATAATATGTCAGGTGCTATCTTTTTGTTTGTGCCTTGCATTACTTGATTTAAAACAAGTTATAGCCTTTATGAAGGCAAGTGATTACATGGAACTAACATTCATATTCATTTAGTTAAAGTCTAATACCGGGAGGTTTGTCGCATTACTTCTAGATTGGGTAAAATAGATTGTCCGAAACACCCGGCTGTTTTTTCTGGGTTCGCGTGTATGCCATGTTTCGGTTAGGGGATTTTTTCATTAACATAATCGACAGATATCAATCAGCCCCCCCCCCCGAATGCCCTGGTATGGCCGAGAGCGGGGTGGGTTCGCCCTCCCTTTTGAAACACTCTCACACGACCACGCGTATACAGCCTCTGCCAGGGAAGTCCTACTCACTGCTTTCTCGTGGCGAGGGTGTTGTTTACAAAAATGAGGGGACGAAAAGCGAATTTCTGGCGCTTTAACCGGATCCCAAACCAATGGTGCACATGGACTCCAGTATCCTAAGGGAACAAATGGAGTATGAACCGATTCCTTGGTCACCGGCTACCATGGGACTGCATCTCCTCACGATGCTCCACTGCCTTTTGGGTTAGACCTTTAGGTCAATGGCTCTGGGTGTGGCCTCCTAAGAAAACCACCTGCTTCGGTTTGGGCACCTGGACAGTATCTCAGCCCGCACACAAGAACATGATAAACTATCTACTTATGAAAAATATTCCTCTCGCTCCAAATAACAATCAAGTGACTCGCATTATTATTATTACTATAATAATAACTATTATTATTTACCCTCTTTTATTCCCAATCTGTTTATACTTATTTTTTCGACTTATACAGCAGCTCGTCTATGGTGGAAATTAGACTGTATCTAAACGTTCTCGAGTCACTGGCTGGTTGAAAATTGTATGCTACCACCGAATATGAATACTGAACCAGTTTTTCTGAAACCACGTGCACCATTCAAACTTGCTGCCTTCAACGTTCGCACACTTATGCAGGTCGGACAACAGATAGGGCTGGCTATGTCTTTGGAAAGTCTTAATATCGACATGTGTTGTCTATCCGAGACCCGTATTCAAGACTCTGGTGAAGTACTAGAATTCGCTCTCCATCTGTCGCTTCGAAAAGCTTGTTTTACGTGCGCTTATCCGGGGACCCTGTGGCATCTTCGTCTGGTCTTGCTGACGTTGGTGTCTCACTGAGCGCTAGAACTGAGGCAGCACTAATCGATTGGATCCCCATTAACAGTCGGTTATGTGCTGTTAGATTAGAGAGTTCCATCAAAATGAGAAGAAATTGGCGTGAGAAACGATGTCTTTCGTAATCTCCGCCTATGCCCCGACAGATTGCAGCCCTGATGCAATCAAGGATGAGTTTTACCACCAGTTATCTGTTCTTCTCCAGAAAGTGCGTTCGACAGATATTGTAGTACTAGCCGGAGACTTGAATGCTCAGGTCGTGCGTCTAGGCACAAAAGAGAGTCGTTTAGGTGGCCGATGGGGACTTGTTGGTCACAGGACAGATAACGGGGACCGTCTACTGCAACTGTGCAGAGACCACAACCTGTTTCTGGCTAGCACTAAGTTTCGGCACAGTCGTCGCCGATGTGCCACCTGGCGTCCTCCCTTTGCATCTCAAGTAAGTACCGATCCGAGCTAGCTGCTAGGCTAGCTACCACTCCACCGAAAAGTATAGATGAGCATTGGTTGCAATGGAATGACGCCATGAAAATGGCGAGTACAGTCAGTTGTGGGTTCGAGAAACGTCCCGCTTATAACCACTGGGTTCCTTCTGGCTCCTTACAACCCATTGAAGCCCGTCGGTCTACTTCGGGTGACCGTGAGTTTGACCATAAACGAAGACTGTTACGCAATGAAATCGTGTAAAGCTTGTGTAAGGACCGAGAAGCCTGGTGGTCGGAGCGTGCTAATGAGCTGGAAGCAGCAGCTGCATCTGGTAATTGCCGGAAGCTCTTCCAACTCATCCGAGCCACTGGCAACAAGAAGTCTGGTGTAAGCGAAACAATCTGCGAGGATGACGGAACGCCAATCGCTAACATCCATCGACGTCTTGGACGATGGGCAGAATTCTTCGAAGGGCAGTTCAACTGGTTTGCTGCTCCGGCAACATCGGTCAGACTGTCCTGCCCTCCATGGCCGGTGACGACTGATCCACCAAATGAGGCGGAAGTCCGCAAGGAAATCCAACTCTTGAAGCGTTACAAATCAGCTGGCCCAGATGACTTACCTCCGGCTCTTTTTAAAGATGGTGGTGACTTTTTGACTAAGGAATTGACGACGTTGTTTACAAAGGTCTGGGAGCTAGAGAGTGTACCAACGTCATGGAATGAGTCGATAGTTGTCCCTATCTTTAAAAATGGTTCATGTCGTTCCTGTAAAAAATATCGAGGGATAAGTCTACTTCTGATTGCGTCCAAGCTATTGGCTTCCGTCATACTTCATAGGTTGTTCAGAACCCGTGAAAGATTGACTTGCGAGGAGCAGGCTGGGTTTCGTTCTGGCCGAGGATATATTGATCATATCTTCACCCTCCGCCAAATGTTAGAACACCGCCATACTTATCAAAGGCCAACAATCGTAGTGTTTCTTGACATCAGGGCTGCCTTCGGTTCGTTGGATAGGACTGTTCTCTGGTATTGTCTATTGAAGAAGGGTGTGCCTGAGAAGTTTATTAACATCCTAAAGACCCTATGTACAGACACCTCATGCAGAGTGAGGGCATATAACCACCTCTCTCCATTGTTCCATTCAAGCAGTGGGGTTAGACAGGGTTGCCCAATCTCACCATTCCTCTTCAACTTTGCCATCGATGACATTCTGGAAACAGCTCTGATGGATTTAAGTAATGGTGGTGTGGATCTGTTGCCTGAAGAAAGACTCCTCGACCTTGAGTATGCGGATGATATTGTCCTACTGTGCGATAATGCCCAAGCCGTGCAATCCGCACTTAATCAGTTGGCAATCAGTGTCCGTAGATATGGTATGTGCTTTACATCTTCGAAGTGCAAAGTACCTCTACAAGACTGGCAGGATTCTAATCCTGTACTCACCCTGGATGGTGAGCAGATAGAAGTAGTCGAGAAGTTCGTGTATCTGGGTAGCTGCATAAGTGCTGGTGGGGTATGTGAGTGATGAGATCAATGCACGTATAGTGAAAGCCAAAGCGGCTTATGTCAATCTGGGTTATCTTTGGCGCCTTCGTGATGTCAGTCTGGCTATTATTATTACACCAATTTCTTCCTTATTGTTCTACTTTTTTACCCTCCTTACCTTTTTTTTCTTTTTCCTTCTCTTTAAATTCTCATTATTTTGTTTGGCGCACTCTTGTACCAATATCTATGTGTTCAAATAAAAAATAAAATTAGCAGCTTCCTTCTACAATGAGTAGAAAAATCTAGTTTTACAGTTAACCCGTAGTTATCTTGTGGAGTGTCGGCCATCGAAGCAACTTATTCTAGCTCCACTTCATTTCGTTACATTTATTTCAATACGAACAGTATTTAGATAGTGTTATTCTTGGAAACTGACATTTTCGAAGATGGAAACCTGATGACTCCATAACTGAAATTAGTTCCCAACATAACTTGAATAGATGAAAGAACTTAGTTTAGTTTTTAGAGTACCAACCTAAGTGTCACTCTATGAAATTGTAAAATGTATGTCCTGGGCTTATGGTTTGGTCCGAAGAATTTCCAAGTGTTGTCTTCTGAATATGAAATTAGGAATCAGTTTCCATAAAGAAGCTCTATTTAAAAGGCCGATCCTCAAGGCCGTGTTTATACTGTCTATAATAGTTTTCCACCTTTTTGAAGTGTTTTATCAAAACAAGGCGCCTTGAGGTACTTAGCTTTTTGTGTGATACGTGGTTCATTCTTAAGACAAAGTAGTGTTAGGTGAGTATTACCCAGTCTAATTTTCTATGTGTATGGTGATTCCGTGTACAACATATCGGTTCTTGAAGCCACTAACTTCTAGTCTGAACCATGTTGGGAGATGCAGACTACTTGGTTAGAGTCCGCGTGACTGTCGTAACCAATGGTTGGAGACTCTTGGTGACATGGCTCAGAATCAATCACAATGGCGTTGGTATATACACTCGTTGTCTTCGCTCAAACTATGAGGTTAAAATTGCTTTATATCTTTCTTTCTACGAACTAATTCTTTTTTCCTGTACTATATCCTTATATGCAATCTCTCTTTTATATATTGCCACCACTGAATTAACTATTTTATGAATTCGGTGTTGATCTTGTTGTGCTAATGAGGTGTGGCAACTTGGACCGATGCATATATCTACCTGGCCTTACGTTGTAATTGACTGACCGCATATCAAATCAACGTAGTAAACATCAGTCAGTATGCAAAGTGATTGTGAGCCTTTGGTTTAAGATTCGCTAGAGTAAATGGTTGGAATGTCTCTCATTATTCAAAGTGTAATCATACATAGACGCTTTTTGATGTCGTTTGTAAAATTTTTAACACGAAACAAAAATTTTAGTTTCTACAAATACGCTTCCCTTAGTTTTATTATTCTAGTAGGAAAATCACTTAAACAATTTCGCTACCGGTTTTTCATACGAATATCTAAATACTTCTTAAGTACTATTAACGCTTGTTCCAATTTTCTTTCGTAGCTTGTAGGAGAGTACTGCTCGTTGGTACCATCAGACGATTATTCCGTAACAAAAATTTCACGCATACTTTCACTTGAATCCAATCTAAAAGGCATTTTACGTTCAGCTCTCATGAAAACATCTCAAACCTACTATAATTCCTCATATAAGGATACTTATTTGGGTTATATGTATCTTTGTAATACGTATAGTAACATATACAGTTCGAAAGAACGACAGTCACCAACAAATGATGTACCAAAAAGTTCTGTCAGAACGTTCAGTACAAATGAAACACAAGAATACACTTCGTCGAAACTACCACGAGTAGTCATGGCAGATTCCGGATAAATTAAGTGACACAAATTGGGCCATCATTTCTTCATACTCTTTTGTGTAGTATTATTTTGTACTTAGGATTTATTGTTTCCTTTCTCCAACTATGATCACGCTAGAGAATACCTTCCTTTCCCACTTGTATGAGTACGAACGTTTACTAATTGACAATTCACCACTTCATAATTTAGAAATTAAATCAAATATCTATGGTTTTCCTTTCATTTCAGCGTTTGATTTCTTCGTTTTCAGTTTGTTTAATTACATTATTGGGTTCTAACAGTGATAAACTCTTGATGTGCGTTTTATATAACAGATAAAAATACATGCATCATTTCATGTACTGAAATAAAGCAAAGTAAGAGATTTTACAGTTCAGAGTGTAAACTGTATCGAAAGGAGTTATCAAGTCATAGTCTTTAACTTTTTGGGGTTATCATAAGAGTGAAATAACGGAAATTCAAATGAACTTTGTGCTATTCCAATTTACGATAAAAGTCTGAATGAATAGTTAGTGCGTTTACTACATGATGGATCGAGAGCGGATGTTGAGAGTTGAATGAACTTAATAGTTAGTTGTAGATAAAAGAGTATAAAAAGTTTATCTTACGCAATCAGCTGTACTCTGGTTATAAATCATCCCTAGGTCATTCGACAAACGTCTTTTTCTGTAATCAATCACGTCTTAAATTAGGGGGCCATGTCTGTCAGAAAAAAACTTTGATAGCTTCCGTCCTCCTAATAAGGCTGGCAGTTTATAATACTACTTTGAATCTTAAAGGTTTTTCCATTTGGAAATAGTTGGTCTGCTGTGAGTTTTGAATCTCCTTTTGTTCATGTATGAATGACATATCAAGCAGTATTGCTATGTTGCATCCATTCAGAATAACTACTCTTACCTAGGTCGGTAGTTCTTTTATCACTTTATAAGTTCTGGTTGGCTAGTGGATATGGCATCAAAATTCAACGGATAAAAACCCAGGTTAGACACCTTTAACTAATTCATCCCACTGTGTGAAGTTCTTGCATGATGGTGAGCGATCAATGCTAATAGATCACCTTGAATAAACACCTAATAAGTTATCAGTATGTGGTTATGGTGATTGTTGAGTTTTTGCATAAGATCATGAATCGATGAATGTTAAGCCACCATTAAAAACATGGAAGCACTGGAAATTGTGATTTTAATCGTCTTTGAGTTGGAGTTTTTGTACTGTTAATACTTCTCTGCCACTGAAACCAGTGACAGTCTCCTGTAATTCTGAGTCTATGGTAAACACCTAGAATTGGGACAATTGTGTATCGATCTTATTCGGCGAAATTAGCATCAACATAACGGGAGGAAATTAACAGTCATCAATGTTAGTCAAAACTGGAAACAGAGCATGTAGTCGCATATAACCAGTGGAACGTACGAACTAATAGTAGAGCTCAAGATTCAGAGGAGGGAATAATGTGTACGTCGCCTCGATCTGAGTAATACCTTGAGCCATGTCACCTGAATTCTCGAAACAGATCTAAACTAGAAAATCCACCGCTCCAAGTAGCCCTGTAAATTAGTCACTGATTTTGTAGATTGATACTATATCGTGGTTTTCTTATATATGTTGTGAACACCGGTACTTTATCTGCATACTTCCCGTTGTGTTATTAACTTTAATATGATCAAACTTTAGGCATTCCCGTACAGTTTTTTGTTCGTCCGACTTTGAGACTGATGGTGGTGGGCAACGAAATCAAAAGAGATGGAAAAGGCGGCGGCTATAGGGAACACAAGACAGCTCTACAGACTAATAAAAGAAACTGGAATAATTAAGTCAAATGTAAGTCAAGCTATTTCGGAAAAAGACGACACTCTCATATGCTCTCAGTTCAGACGTTTAGAACGTTGGGTGGAACACTTTAGAGGACAATTCAGCTGACCTTCAGCTACTCTGCAACTACCCTCCATTCCCAGACAGTATGGATGGAACATTGAAGTAGGTCCCACAGCTCTAGCTGAAGTTCAAAAGGCTATAGTTAATCCGGATGGATTGGCTCCAGAGGTCTTTAAGGATGGTGGTCCAATTTTAGCGACTAAGTTGACTAATATTTTAGCTAAGATCTGGGAGTTAGACGTTATCCCATCTAACTGGTTACAATCACTTATCGTCCCAATATATAAAAGAGGGTTGAAATCATCCTGTGACAACCATAGAGGGATTAGTTTAACAAACATAGTATCTAAAATACTGGCCTCGATAATTATCAAACGCCTAACTAAGACTCGTGAACTGCAAACACGAGAGAATCAAGCTGGCTTCAGACCTGGTCGTAGCTGCATCGACCACATATTCACCATTCGTCAGGTTCTAGAACACAGGCATACTTATCGACGTCCGACAATGGTGGTCTTTCTTGACTTAAATGCAGCATTTGACTCGGTAGACCGCGATATTCTGTGGCAGTGTCTGTCATTGAAAGGCGTACCACAGAAGTACATAAACCTTTACTCGAACACTACCAGTCGAGTCAGAGCTTATGGCGAATTGTCATCTACTTTTGCAACCTCAAGTGGTGTCCGTCAAGGCTGTCCACTTTCTCCATTTTTGTTTAACTTCATCATAGACCTATTGATGGAAATAACTTTCTCGTCGACTGAATTCTCGGGTATTGATCTCCTTCCAGGAGGTCCACTTATCGACTTGGAATACGCAGATGACATAGTCCTGTTTGGTGAAGACGCTGATAAAATGCAGAGTCTTTTGGTAGCACTAAGCAACAATGCCAGAATGTTTGGAATGCACTTCTCTCCCTCTAAATGCAAGCTGCTGCTTCAGGACTGGTCTGCGTCAACACCTAAACTAAGGATAGGGAATGAAGTAGTCGAACGTGTTGACAGCTTCACTTATTTTGGAAGTCTGACCAGCCCTAATGGGTTGGTGTCTGACGAAATCTCAGCACGGATTCGAAAAGCTCGCTTGGCTTTTGCCAACTTACGTCACCTATGGCGAAGTCGAGATATCCGTCTATCAATAAAAGGATGAGTATACTGTGCGGCAGTCCGTTCTGTTTTAATTTACGGCAGCGAAACATGGCCATTAAGAGTAGAAGACACTCGTAAGCTACCAGTATTTGACCACAGATGCCTTAGAAATATTGCTGGCGTCTGCTGGGATCACCGGGTAAGTAATAGTGAGGTTAGACGCAGGGTATTAGGGAATGATGGTAAATCAGTCGATGAGGTTGTGAATCTTCATCGTCTGAGATGGTTGGGCCACGTGTTACGTATGTCCGAACACCGATTACCACGACGTGCAATGCTAACCGGTCTTGGAGATGGTTGGAAGAAAGTTGGGGGCGGCCAAATCAAAACGTGGCATCTACTTGAAGTCACTAACTTCTAGTCTGAACCATGTTGGGAGATGCAGACTACTTGGTTAGAGTCCGCGTGACTGTCGTAACCAATGGTTGGAGACTCTTGGTGACATGGCTCAGAATCAATCACAATGGCGTTGGTATATACACTCGTTGTCTTCGCTCAAACTATGAGGTTAAAATTGCTTTATATCTTTCTTTCTACGAACTAATTCTTTTTTCCTGTACTATATCCTTATATGCAATCTCTCTTTTATATATTGCCACCACTGAATTAACTATTTTATGAATTCGGTGTTGATCTTGTTGTGCTAATGAGGTGTGGCAACTTGGACCGATGCATATATGTGCCTGGTCCTACGTTGTAGCTGACTGAAACTGATGAAGTTGGTTTATATTATGACACGATATATCTCCACAAGACTAACACACAAAGGAAAGTGGTAATACTTCGAAGAAGCAGGAGTAATATAGTCGATAGTTAAGTTGATAAAAAGAAACGCCTATTTAAGAAAAACAAAGGTGTTTCTGGTTCGGTCGTAAGATGCATGTTATTTTTCTAAATATTATGGAAATCACATACTTTTCCAATTCACTTAATCGAGCAATGTCAGGTAATCAGTAGGAAGCCGTGGACGAGCTAAAGAATGTACACCTAAGAAATATGCGATCTATTCAAGCAACGTAAATGTATTGATTACAGATATTATCATAACTTACAAGACTGGAATAAGTAATAATCGGTCATTAGACAATAACCAACTTCGTCCTCTATATTCTCTTACTTATACACTTATTGGCCATTTCATAGTGCATCAACTAAACCAAGTGATTGAACTTGGCTGAATAGTACAGTAGTTTCTCGCCATTTATTCTCGGTTGCCGTGCATATCGTGTCATTTTTTTGTGGAATTAACGAGTATATTATAATGAAGCTTAACATGAATCCAATAATTGTTTGTAGAAAATTTTAAATGTGTAGTTAGGCGTATTTCTATTCCAATTGCACGATATACTGTACTAGAAAGAAGAGATACAAAGGAGTACTAGGATATTTAGAAGTATTTGAATTATTGTATTAACTAGGAATTCCTGAAACAGTTCAACTTAAGCCAAATAGAACCAAAGGAGCACAAAAGGAAGTATCGTACCTAGAATTCGAAATCAATCGGGAATCAAGCACAAAACAGCAATTAGTTCACACAAATGGATTGTTTCCGAATGTTTATGTTTAATAGAAACTTCTCAAAGGGTTTTGCAAGTGGCTAGGTGAAGCGGCAAAATAATAGCGTGTCGCTGTCGTCGAGTTATCTAAATATGACATAGATTATGGGTGACATCGATGAAATAGTCAAATTATGTACTTTGCAGGGGTTCCGTTACACTCATACCGTACTCCTTGAGAGTATGACAATGTTAGTCCGGCTTTCCTTCCATCCTTAATAATTTTTTTATGAGACAACTCAGTGGCTACGAGGTTTGTGTATTGCTGTCTGAACAACAATTATTTGATTTGTGAACCAACTTACGTTGGTTCTCATATTTTACCAAAACTGGGCTTTAAGATATATTGGTATTTAACCCTTTTTTATGTTATTAAGACTAGTAAACTCATCTGAACTATCATACTTTACATTCCAATTATTAATCACATACTAAACTAATAAACCATATTTAAAGACAGCTAGATGCGAAGAATCCAATGCGTGTACTGGATTATATTCAGTTTAGTTACTATTAACTCCACAGAGGTGAGGTTAATTTAAGAAGGACACGATTGTCGAGTTTCTAACTTAAATATCTTAATGTAAAAAAACTAGAACAGTTGCGTGAAGCTTACTTGCTGAGGATATAAAAAACCCAAGGTAATTACATCAGGTCCGAATTTGTATGACAAATCTTTTTGAACATCAAGAAACGACTATTTATTCGCTATGATGTAATCTCTTGGCTTTATAGTTTCAGTATTGTGTGGAAAAACCGTAACTTCATTAAATTAAATAGAAAGACCGTGTTGATTTATTCATCTAGCTATGAGCGTCAAA